ATAGGGAAGGGTGGAGGGGGTGAAGGGAGGGCTAGGAATGGGGAAAAAATAAGAACCAAGATGCATCATGTAAAGGTACAATTCCCAGTGAGAAATGTAACTGTGTTGTATACCTACAATGTACCAATAAAAGAATTTAATTATAATAAAAAAGGAATCTGGGTGATTCCTGGGAATGCTGAAATTCAAGGCCCCTGGCTTTATGTGAACACCAGTCTCTGCTTGTTCATTGTTCTCAGCCTTACGTGGAGAAAGGAAGAGGTGAAAGCAAAAATCATCCCTTTAATTGGTTCTCAAACTTGATAAAGTGGACAAATAGAGCTGATTCTGACAAAAAAAGAGAGGGGCAGATGGTACAGGGTGGGCACCCCAAGATTGGTGGGACGTGGAGAGTGAACTGCAGGGCCAGGGGCTGACCCCAGAGGGGATTCCAAGTGGTCTCAGCCAGGGGGAATGAGGAATTAGTGGGCAAGAGCTAAACCATACCTTGGCCTATTGAAAAGTTGCTCTAATTGTTTTAGATGAACATTTTCCACTTTGTAGTTTACCTTTGAAAAACTGGTTGTATTTTCACTAAATCATCATCAGAGAAAATCTGTGACATGCTGTGAATCTGAAAGGGCCTCCGGGCTGCTGGCTAAGATACTCTTACCTTAGGAGCTTCAGGAACGGATTTCTTAGCCAAGACCCCCACAGCTGTGTCATCATAAGCTGCAGTGTCGGCTTTTGGGGAGCAGAAATTATCCTTCAAAAGTTGACCCCAAATATTCCCGCAGGGTCTCAGAAGATGATGAAACAGCTCAGCCTTTTGGAAAGATGTTGCCAAACATTTACAAATGCCCCTGGGATCTGCTCTCTGCTTCAAAGGGGTCCCAGTTAAAATCTGCCCCAAGGACATCCCTCTGCCTTTTTCCTCAGTTTCCCTGATGCCTTCTGTTCCACAGGAGGCATTAGGCTGACAATGACCATCCACAGAGCAGGCCAGAAAGAAGGAGAATGGTCTGCCCAGTGCCCCTCAGGAGGTGGTGAGGATGAGGGTTGCAGGGGCCATCAAGGGCCCTTTCTGGCATCCTAAAGTGGGTGGTCAGGGGTCCCCCTGCATCCTCTCTGTCCTACCTGTTTTAATTGAGTGTTAACGCAGCAAAGGCCCTCCAAAAAATCGATGATCTGCAGGTAGAACTGTAACTTTTTCTCTGAGTTTTCTGGGTCGAAGCCAGCAAACACTGAACTGGCAACAGAAAAAGCAGAGTCAGAAAGTATTTAGGATGCTAACGTTTCACCTCTGGTTGCTGCCACCCCTCCACCTCCAAAATGTTTGGACTATAGTGTGAGTTGAGCATTTCTAGACCTCTGGTGGAATTCCTGGACAGCACAGTTCTTCCCAAGAGGCCTATGCTGCCTCTGTTTCTGTGTCCTGTCCGGGACCCGTGGAAAAAGTGAGGATGTGGTGAGACTGGCTCTTGTGCCCTGGCCTCCAAGACAAGGGAGCAAGGATCTCCTCGAGTTCTCGGGCCACAGCAATGCTCCCCACTCTGGGTCCACCTGCAGCTCCGTGGAGGCTCAGGAAGCACACTGTACATTCAGAGTTCAGGCCCACAGGTAGCCCCACTCAGTGTGTCCAACATGGAGCTCAGGTCCTGGTGCAGAAAGGAGGTGGTGTTTCAGGCTCCTTTCTCACCATGTTCCAGGGACAAGGGGAGCAGCTGAGTGTGACTGGGGCCTCAGCACAGCACTGTGGGCCACAGAGGGCAGTTGACCTTTTGCACCCGCTTTCTCCTGGGATGAGGTCCCACAGCCAGCCTAGAAACCTCCCAGTAGCAACCACTGCCTTTTCTAGGGAGAACAGGTAAAGAATTTTTAATAGGTTGTTTTGGCTCCACCAGCTGGGTAGGGAGTTCCAAATACTGCTTAGTCATTACACACTGGCAACCCCCATCCAAGTTGTGTTTGCAGCCTCAGCCCAGTGCAGAAGTAGGAATCCCAGCTGCCAGCCAGCTGCAGCAAAATTACACTCTGCATACAGCTGAGAGGAACATGAGATGGCTCTAGAGAGGACACAGCCTCCTCTGTTGATCTCAGGGCTCCCCAAGTCTCGCTAGGCCTGGGTGAGGCAGGGGCTTGGAGGAACAAAGGCTGGGGTCTGGGCTGCCTGAAGCTCTGCTTAAAGTCATCTGGATCCCTGTGGCCACATCTTTAGGGTGAGCCAAAAGCTAGGCTCCCATGGAGGACAATAGAGTCACTTGGGTCCCAAGGATGTGAATGTCACTCTTACTCCCAAGACAGAGACACTAAATGTTCAGGCTTCTTTTCAGCCCAGACACCAGCACAATATCTGAAGAGCTGTCCATTCAAGTCAGGACATCACAGGTTTTCAAGGATCAGCCAGGGAATTCTTAGGTTGGCATCCTAGGTTGGCTTTTCAGAGGAAGTGCTCCTGGGGTATAAGGATGGGTCCAGCCACTTCTTGTTTTAAATATTCTCAGATCCTGTTTTTTTGAGTACCAGGGATTGAACTCAGGTCCTTGCACTTGCAGGGCAGGCAGTGGAACCACTGAGCTAAATCCCTGGCTCTCAGATCCTGTTTTGTCTTCTTGCCTCATGGGTCAGCCACCCCTCCTCTGTGCCTTCCAAACCCATTCCCAGGCAGCCTTCCTCCCTGGTGTGGCTCAGAGTCTCCATTAGGTACAGGGCACAGGCCTGTTTCCACGTTGGCCCAGGTTCTCTGTGTTCCAGAGCCCCCTGCCCTCTTCTGCCAGACTGACAGCTATGACTGGCCCATGGGCTGCCTGGTCCTGGCTGCTATAGATGGAATGTTTGTGCCCCCTCCTCCCAGGTGACAGCATTAGGAGGTGGACAGGTTGACCCCCTTACAAAAGAGGCCCTAGAAAGACCTGGTTATATTGAGAAAGTGCCATCTACTAACTCTGAATCTACTGGCACCTTGATCTTGAGCTGTGATCAATAAATGTTTGTTGTTTATCTGTCACCTGGTTGGTGGTGTTTTCTCTAACAGCAGACTTAACAGCAGGGCAGTAGCAGCTCTACGCAGGGATAAGCAAGACCAAGACACACCAGGAAAACAGGGCAAAGAGAGGATATGCCACCACCTTAAGCTGATTACCTAGGCCAGGATGGAAGAATTTTCTCCTCTGAGAGTGTCCCCAGAAATGTCATCCCCCAGGAGATGGCACAATCCTAGCACCAGCCCAAAAAACACAAAAAAAGAGGATCCCTAAGAATTTCCACTGAATTCTGTGCCCATCCAGGGGCTGCAGAGGACAGGCTGAAAAATATTCCTGACGGAGTACACATACACACACACACACACAACCTCACACCCACTCTCACATTTGCACACGCATACTTGCACACTGCCTTCCTCACCTGGGGTCAGATGTACTTGGAATTTCACTTTTATCAAGGAAACTTGCCACATCGAAGGCATCTTCAAGGAGGACCTGGAAAAAAGCACAAAACTTCGTGTGTCAGAAACAGTTTAGCAATTTTATGCTTGTTCAAGGCTGCTGGGGCAGAGAGAAGTGGAAAGGCTCCCTCTCTGTGCACTGAATCCTGAAAGGACATGCGTGTCAAAGCCGGGGCCAAAGGCAGAGTCAGTGCTCAGGGATCTTCCCATGGGGTAGAAGCAGTCTTCCAGGACTCTGCTAACTCCAGAAGAGCTGTGGTTGGCCTGCTTCCATCACAGCGCAGGATGACTTCTTTTTATTTATTTATTTATTTATTTATTTGGTATGGGGGATCAAACTTGGGTCCTTGTGCTTTCGAGGCAGGCAGTGGAACCACTGAGCTAAATACCCAGCCCTAGGATGACTTGTAACAACACCCAAAACCATAGACCATGGCTACTCTCACTACTCAAGAGCTGAGAAATGCATGGATAGCAGACACTGGTTGCTTCTTCTTTATTGCGTTAACACAATGCTCTCTGCATGGAAACTGGCTCCTCCTCAAGGACTGGGCCTGAGTAGTCCTCAGGTAATCCTCTTTGGATTACCAATCACTGGTTTAGTAAAATGGTAATCTGGTCAATCCTGGCCAATAACAGTGGAGGAGAGGTACGGTGGAAGTTTCTGGAAAGTTTTTCCTTGACTGAGAAAGAGCCTTCACAAGAACTCCTCCTATCTCTAGCTGGTGAAAAGGAGGCTTGATTGCTCCAGGGAAGGCGGAGAAACTGGCCCTAAAATGAAGAAAGTCAGAGAGAAGGGAGGAACCTCAATCTGAGGGGATATCATTGGGCAACTGGACTGACCTGGACCTCCTTGGACTTGAGGTTTAATAATCAAGTCACTGGCAGCCAAGAGTCCCATGATAGACCTTGGCTCCCATAGTGCCATGGAAAGGCCAGGTTGCTGACAGTAGAAGAGGAAGTGCTGTCTGGTGGTCATGGAGATGATGCTGAGAAAAATCAGAAGACTATGTGTGACCCGATTCCAAATGGCTCCTCAAACTCACTAAATGACCCTAGCAAAGCTTGGGATCCCCAGGGCCAAGGGTGAAAGAATTGTTCCTGTCACACTCTGGGTCACCCCACAGGGTCTGCTCACCTCTTCCTGGGTGGAGACCAGTGAGGAGCTGGCTCCTTGGCTGTCCACACCGCTGTCCTTCATGCTGTCCTCAGCGAATGCCTGCTGCGGGCCGGTGCCCAGGTCCAGGAGGCCACTGTGCTGCTGGATCCAGGCCTGCAGGACGCTGGCCTTCCTGTCCTCAGAGAGTGTCTGCCACAGGTGGGAGATGGCTGCCGAGATGACAGGCTGGGAAGCCATCCGTGAGGAGACGATGCCGTTCTGAATTAGCAGGTCCATCGTCTGCTTGTAGAAGTTGAGATACCTGGAACGGAAGTGGCACCAGCTCTTGGGATTCAGTTCATGGCCACGGCCCCCTGTGGCTCCCAGTGGATCAGCCTTAAAGCTCTGTGACCTCTGACTCTTAGAGGACAGAAGCCACTTTGGGGGCCATGAAGCACCTAGGTTTGTGCTTGGGATCCCTGCAGTGGCTGGCTCAGCTGTCCTCCCATAGGAAAATGCCATGCAATTCTGTGCCATGAGTGCACCTTTCTATTAGGACCCCTACCTTAATACAGGGCTGTGGGCCAGGCTCAGCCAGAGACTGGGTTTTCTCCTATTGGGCCAAGGCCTCCGTAAGCCACATGGCTGCTGAGGGTCTTGGAGCCATGCAGAAAGCAATGGCAAAGGAAAACATTCACCTTCCTTCCTTCTTCCCTCCCTCTGCCTGTTGTCTCTCCTCCCTCCCTTCCTCTCTTTCCCCATCCTTCTTGTACTAGGGATTGAACCCAGGGCCTTCACACTGAGTTACATTCCTTGTCCTTTTTTAATATTTTTATTGTGAGACAAGGTCTCACTAAGTTACCCAGGCTGGTCTTGAGCTTGCAATCCTCCTGCCTCAGCTTCCCAGGATGCTGGGATTACAGGCATGAACCACCACACCTGACTTGTCTTTCTTTCTATAACACCAACTGTGATGCTCAAAGCAGACTTGTGGAGCTTGAGTGGTGGTGGTAGGCAGAGGCTTAACCCTTGGAACACAATCAACACCCCCATCCACCCCAAATAAACACCCAGTCTAAATTAAAAACAGTGTTTTTGCCATACAAATGCAGCTTAGTGACTTTATGTCTAGACCGGGAGTTGACCCCGTCCTGAGCCCCTCCTGTGGAAACTCCAGAGTGTCGAGAACTCAGCGCCTGGTCAGATCATGTATGGAGGCTACAGGGATCACAGCTGTAGCCCGTGTCCCATCCCCACAGGAGCTCCTCTGTTGCACAAAACCACCCCACCCAGCTGTTCACACCGCTCAAATTCCAGGAGGTCTGGTGGTGAAGTGCTTAGGGAGTGTACAAGATCCATTTGTTTCCCCTCTTCCTCTTCCTCTGCCTCTTCTTGGTTTTCCTCTTCCTCTTCTTCACCTTCTTCCTCTTCTACACCCTTCTCGACTCCCTCAGTTGGGTGCCAGGGGAAGGAGCCATTCTGAAGAAAACTATCTGAGATCAAACTGGGGGAGAAATCAGGAATGAGACAGTACTGTAGACAACAACCCCCAGTGAAAACAGAAATTCTCAACATGTTTTAGCAACAGTATATATAATCCAGCCACATATATGTACATAAGTATGTTGTGCCCAAATGGTCTTGCTCCTAGGCAAGACAGCTGGTTCAATGTTTAAAAAAGCAATTGATGGGCCTGGGGATTTAGCTCAGTGGTTCTGCTGCCTGCCTCGCAAGAGCAAGGTCCCGAGTTCAATCCCTGGTACCAAAAAAAAAAAAAACCAATTGATGCAATTCACCACATCAACACACTAAAGAAGAAAAATCATGATTGTCTCAGTAGATGCAGAGTAGATGCAGAGAGATAACTGATAAAATCAACATCAATTTTATGATAAGAATGCTCAGCACACAAAGAATAGAAGGCAACTTCCTTCACCCAATCAAGGCTATCTCCAAAAGGCTACAGCTGACACCATACTTAATGGTAAAATACTCAGTATTTTCTCCCTAAAACCAGGAGTAAAAAGAGGATGTGCATTCTTACCACTTCTACTCAGGATCACACTTGAGGTTCTAGCCAGTCCAATAAGGCAAGAAAAAGAATTAAAATTTAGTATGCAGATTGGAAAGGAAGAAGTAAAGATGTCTATTTGCAGACAATGTGATTATGTGGAAAATTCCAAAGAATGTGCAAACATATGACTATAATAAGGGGACTTAGCAAAGTTTCATTGCACAGAAATAAATATTATTTCAATGAGAATAGTGGTTACCAAAGTGTGGAAAGTGTGTGGATGCACAGGGATGAAGGGGGGAGAGAGAGGAGCGGGGATGCAAATGAACAGGAAGAATAACTTCTGATGTTCTCTAGGATAATTATAGCTGACAAAGTAGCTAATAGAGAAGATCTTCAGTATTCTCAACACAAACAAATGGTAAATAAATGTCGGAGATGATATGCTAATTGTTCTGATCTGATAATTACATAGTTTATCAAGTACTGAAGTGTCATATTGTACTCATAAATATCTATAATTATTATGAGTAATTAAAATATATGTTAAAAAAGTTTATATACTAGAAATGAAATAAAAAACCCATTATTTACAGTAGTACCAAAAAAATGAAATAATTAAGTTTAAACCAAAAGCTTAATCTGTATTTTTTAAAAAAGAGTAGGTTGGACTCATTAACATCTGTCAATTTTGCTGTTCAGAACACATTTTAAAACAACACTGCATGACAGCTGGGAGTGGTGGCACACGCCTGTAATCTCAGCACGCGGGGGGCTGAGGCAGGAAGATTGTCACAAATTTGAGGCCTGCCTGGGCTATATAGCGAGTTTAAGACCAGCCTGAACTACATAGTTAGAGCCTATCTAAAAAAACCAAAAAACCAAATCAAAACAAAAACCTGTATGACACAATTTGGGAAGTCAGAATTTATACCTAGGATCTCTTCATATTGATAGGGATAATCCCCTATCAAATTCTATTGAAAAGAAAATTCACCAGGAAAAAGCTTAGGAAGATTCTTTTTTGTTTTCTTTTTTTCAGTCTTGCAGTGGAGAAAGTCTTAAGTATTCCCCAAAAGTCCAGGAGTCATAACAAATTGATACATTAGACAAAAAACAAAGCAGAAGCAAAATGATAGAACAAATGACTGAGGGAAAAATTTTCACAGCTCAAGTAATAGAGTGTTAACTTATCTGTATATATAAAGAGTTTCTACAATTAAATAAAAAATGTATATGAGCCTGTTGTTGTCATATAGGTAGGTTTTCAAGCTAGGAATATACTTTCTCTAATCGGTGCTATTCAAATTTTATATTTCCTCCAGAGTTAGTTTCATTAATTTGTCTTCCAAGGTACTTCTTAGAAGTTGTCAAATTTATTTCAA